TTATACAGGAGGGCTGGCTCCCCTTTCCAGACACAGCTAACCTCTGTGACAAATTCAGTGTCCCCCAGCGTGGAGCCTGAAATCCCAGACCTGCCTTTCCTTCCAAATTTTCCAGTTGGTAATTTATCCTGCTGAGCTGACTCCTTTCAGATTTCCATATAATACAAAAAATAAAGTTATTTTTATTTCTTATTCGATTTTTTTTCCCCCCAAAGAGGAGAGAATTCAGTTCACAATTAGGGAGGAGTAGTTTTTGGATCCTGTCCCCTACATGAAATCTGTTATACCTACGTCTTGCCAAGATCCTGAACCGCGATGTGCCAGTTTTGTAATAGGTTTAGTCCTCCGGTTTTTTACTCGAAGTCCAAATTCTCTGTCGTTTTAAAACATTTTGTCCTCGAAAACCATTTTTCCCTTTTCACAATTTTCCCTTTTCAAAAGGCGATGTGGTGTGCATGTGTTAAGCCATCCCGTCTGTGACAGCCGAAGACAAAAACGTCAGCCTGAGTTTTGGCACAACCTGGGCCTCTGTGCTGTAATCTCATTTGTGCCTGTCCTAGTACTGTTCTTATTCACCAGAATTCTTATCTCGGAGCCACAGCCCAGGGCAGCATTGTGGCGCTGCGAGCACAGGCGATGCTCTGGCTCAGAGGACGCCCGGGTCTTTGTGAGAGCAGACACCATCTTTGGAATTGACTGATGTTGGAAATCGCTGAATCCCTTAATCTGTTTCATTTCTCTTGCTTGAATGATGGTCTGAGCAGGGTAACTTCAGAGAACAATGGTTCTGGCTCTTTGAAGTGTTGATTTTCATCAGTGCCACGATGTGATGAGCACATAAACCTTTTGCATTTGCCGTTCAGCTGTTCAGTGACAATAAGGCCTTCTGCAAAGAACACCATATTTACCAGTTAGTGTTCCTCTCACTTGCCATAAAGCTTTGTCTGTAAACACACACCAGACTTCCCAAAGCCTTTGACTTTGCGGCAGTCCTTTCATTTTTATATATTTTTATTGTGCTTCTTTTTCATATTTTTAAGCACAAACTCCTATTAGATCTTCAATCTTTGGAACTAAAAAAAACATTTTTTTAAAGAGTTAAGATTATAATTTACTTTTTAAATGGAAACTAACCTGCTTTTATTGATAAGCTTTTACATCTTCATGCTGCATATTAAGTAATACAGAAGTCATTTATAATAAACTAATGTCTATTTTTCTTAATGGTTAGCTCACAGGATCCATCACCCTAGCCAGTGGTCGGCAAACTGTGGCGTGCGAGCCACATGCGGCTCTTTGGCCCCTTGAGTGTGGCTCTTCCACAAAATACCACGTGCCGGCACGCACGTACAGTGCGATTGAAACTTCGTGGCCCATGTTCAGAAGTCGGTATTTTGTGGAAGAGCCACACTCCAGGGGCCAAAGAGCCGCATGTGGCTCGCGAGCCACAGTTTGCCAACCACTGCCCTAGACTGTTGCCTAATTTTATCTTTGCGGTACAAACATTTTTATGAATTGTTGGTAACAGGGAAATATGTTTATCATCTAAAAAGAGTGACTATAGAAAAGATAAACTCATATAAATTTACCTATTATTGACACCTTACATTTGTTTATGAAATATGAACTTATTTCTGTCTACAGTAAATAAGAACTTATTTCTGTCTACATAAATCCCATTAACATTAAGCTGTTATCATCAAAAACATCATCTCAAAATCTAAAAATTGTATCTAGCTCACAACTGTAATATATAAAGTAAAAATATTGACATAATTTTTAAGATTTGCAAATAGAGAAAAACATTTTGCTACTTTATAATAATTGAAATTAGAAATAAATGCTTAAGGACATAAAAACTATGTTGTCACCTGAAAAGTAGTTTTCTTTGGACTTTCTATGACATGAGGTCAATTACATCAATTTTCAGTATTTGCAAACCTATATGCGGGTGGCACTGTTACTTGGGTAGGTTTGTTATTTTATGGGGAAGAATAGGAATATCCATCACATTTTATACAGTTGATGATCTCATCCAGGAATCTGGAATCCTATGCCTTATGTGATAGTCTGAAGCTCTCCCCACTTATGACTGTCTGTAACCCTTTCTCATGCAATGAAATGGACACTGTGTGTTTGACAGTGGAGAGACTCACAGTGTGTGTGATCACAGCAAGAGTTCTCAATGAATTAGACTCAACAGGAGGAGAAGGGATTATAAAAGTCTAAAACAGGGTTTTACAGGTGCTGGAAGAGAAAAACACTGCTGAAAAGGCTTACTTTCTTTCTAGTTAATTTGATTGGGTAGCAGATGAAAAAATTTACATCTTAAATGAAACAACATGTAATAAATAAATTAGATGTAATATAACTTTTTTTTTAATAAAAATAGACTACCAATGTTCAAATTTGAAAGGTACATGGTGCTTCTTATTGTGTTCATTACATTCATTTGGAGATTCCTCTTTCCTGATATTGTTTTATTTTTCCACGACTTACAAATGTATGGGAAACAAATGTTTGATCTACAGTCCTTACATGCTAAGTGGTCTCTATTCATATTCCATGTAGACAACAATCTAGACCAGCCGTGGGCAAACTACGGCCCGCGGGCTGGATCCGGCCCGTTTGAAATGAATAAAACTAAAAAAAAAAAACTGTACCCTTTTATGTAATGATGTTTACTTTGAATTTATATTAGTTCACACAAACACTCCATCCATGCTTTTGTTCTGGCCCTCCGGTCCAGTTTAAGAGCCCATTGTGGCCCTTCAGTCAAAAAGTTTGCCCACCCCTGATTTAGACATTAATCTGTTCATCATGCTCTCCAAATCTGCACACAGACCTGACTCCACCATATCCAGTGTGTGATGTGGAGCATTGTGCTAATCCGATTGAGTTTCACTGTCCTAATTATAAAATAAGAGAACAATACCTTTTTCTACTTTTGTTCCTCAGATTGAATTTCATGCTATTTCCTTTTCTCCCTACCTCCCTCAATTCTCTCTCTCCCTTACTTCCCACGCCCCACCACCACATATTTGTATTCATCCTTCATTTATCTGACTCTGCCTTTCTCTCTCTCTCTCTCTCTCTCTCTCTCTCTCTCTCTCTCTCTATATATATATATATATATATATATATATACTAGAGGCCTGTTGCAGGAAGATTCCTGCAAGAATAGGGCTTCCTGCAGCTGGAGTGAAGCAGAGAAGAGAGCGAAGCCCACTGAGGCAGGTTTCGCTCCCGCTCCACCACACTGCTGGTTTGTTTCCCCTCCCGTTCTGCCGCCCAGCTGGGTTCCCCCTCCCGTTCCACCACCTGGATGGTTTCTATCCGCCTCCTGGCTCCTCCACCTTGGATCCGTTCCTGTCTCTGCCACCTCTACTTTGCTCCCTTCTGCAGCACTTCGCTCCCACGTTGTCTTCAGTCTTCGCTCCCAGCCGATATATGCAAATTAACCACCATCTTGGTTTGGTTAATTTGAATATTTTCACTCTGATCGACTGGTGGGCGTAGCGAAGGTATGGTCAATTAGCATCTTTTTCTTTTATTAGTGTAGATGCAAGTACATATATACGAATATCTATATATCCTATCTAATAATAGACAAACATGGTAATTAACCGTGCCTCTGACACGCATCCCATCGGCTAATCAGGGCGATATGCAAATTAACTGCCAACCAAGATGGCGGCTGGCAGCCAGGCAGCTGAAGAGAACAGGAGGCTTGCTTGCTCCAGTGATGGAGGAAGCCAAGGTTCCCCGCCTGCCGCTGTCGGCCCCTGAGCTGCACTCTAAGAAACAATGTTGCAATTATAGAAACTAAACAAACCCCAGAAACCTGCTTTCAGCCAGCCGGGCCTCAGAGCTGGAGCTGCAACAGTGTTTCAATTATAGAAGCCAAACAAACTGAGATACCTGCTTTCAGCAGCCGAGGTCTCAGAGCTTGATCTGAGCCTCAGAGCTAAAGCCGGCTCTAGTTCCAGTGACAGCCATAGAAGGTAAATAAATCCCAGAATAAAAGAAAAAGAAAAAAAGGAGAGGTTGGGAGCTTCAGTCACCTGCCAGCCTGAAAACGGCCCTCAGCCCCTCACCCAGACTGGCCGGGCACCCCAGTGGGGACCCCCACCCTGAAGGGGGTATGACCAGCTGCAAACAGCCATCATCCCCTAATCCAGGCTGGCCAAGGAACCCAAGCGGGACCCCCACCCTGATCCGGGACACCCTTCAGGGCAAATCAGCCGGCCCTCACCCGAGCACCAGGTCTCTATCCTATATAGTAAAAGGGTAATATGCAAACTGACCCTAACAGCAGAAAGACTGGGAATGACTTGTCACTATGACACATACTGACCACCAGGGGGCAGACGCTCAATGTAGGAGCTGTCCTCTGGTGGTCAGGGTGCTCTCACATGGGAGGAGCTCTGCTCAGCCACAAGCCAGGCTGATTGCTGCCAGTACAGCGGTGGTGGTGGGAGCCTCTCCTGCCTCCTCAGCAGAACTAAGGTTGTCCGACTGGAGCTTAGGCCTGCCCCACGCTGGCAAGTGGGCATTCCTCGAGGGCTCCCGGCCTGCCAGAGGGATGTCTGACTGCCAGCTTAGGCTCAATCCCCCGTGAAGTGGGCCTAAGTCAGCAGGTGGTCATCCCCCGAGGAGTCCCAGACTGCGAGAGTGCACAGGCCTGGCTGAAGGACCCCCCCAATTACACAAATTTTTGTGCACTGGGCCTCTAGTATATACATAAATGTACTAGAGGTTCAGTACATGAATTCGTGCATGGGTGGGGTCCCTAATCCTGGCCGGTGATTGGGGCCGATTGGGGCCATGGGAGGTTGGCTGGCCGGGGGGAGGGGCTGTGGGAGGTTGGCTGGCTGGGGTAGTGACCACAGGAGGTTGGCCAGCTACAGGAGGTTTGCTATGGGAGCGCACTGACCACCAGGGGGCAGTTCCTGTGTTGAGCATCTGACTCCTGGTGGTCAGTGCGTGTCACATTGACTGGTCTTTCAGTCGTTTGGTCACTTAGTCTTTCATATATATATGCTTAAATGAGCATTAAGGCAAAATGACAGGAACGACTATTCACTATGACATGCACTGAGCAGGCAAGCAGGCGAGCAGTTAGGGGTGAGCAGGCAGGCAGGTGTGAGGTTAGGGTGAGCAGGCAGCCAGGAAGGCGAATGGTTAGGGGTGAGCAGGCAGGTGAGCGGTTAGGGGTGAGCAGTCCCGGATTGTGAGAGGGATCCCAGATTGAAAGAGGGATGTCTGATTGCTAGATGTGTGACTGTAGGGATTGGGCTTAAACCAGCAGTTGGACATCCTCCGAAGCGTTTTGGATCGCAAGAGGCCACCGGCCAGGCTGAGTGACCCCTCCATCTCCATGCATAAATTTCATGCACCAGGCCTCTAGTGTGTATATATATATATATATATATATATATATATATATATATATATATATAATTTTTTTTTTTTTATCTGCCTATGTACCTCTTTCACATGGTATTGGAAATTGGTTGCCAATGTCTACAATAAAATTGAAATACAATACAATTGCCCTGACTGGTTTGGCTCAGTGGATAGAGTGTCAGCCTGTGGACTGAAGGGTCACAGGTTTGATTTCGGTCAAGGGCATGTACCTTGGTTGCGGGCACATACCCAGTAGGAGGTGTGCAGGAGGCAGCTGATAGATGTTTCTAACTCTCTATCCCTCTCCCTTCCTCTCTGTAAAAAAAATAATAAAATATATTTAAAACAAAGAAATACAATAGAAAATAAAGAAGGGGCACAGGGCAAATAAGTTAAGATATAAAAATTTAAGGGTAGTTAATAAAGAGTCGATCAATTGTACAAAAAAAAAAAAAGAATGAAAGTAGTCCTTTTTGTGTTACTATATTTTCCAACTGCTTTTTCTTTGGCAATTTAGAATGTGTTGTACCCAATTCTATATCATCACAATAAGCCCTAGGTTTGTTTTCACCATCAAATGAAATTGATGGAGTTGGCAGCATGGGTATAATGAATGTCCTTTTGTAAGAGAGCTATAACAGTGTAAATATGCAAAACAGTGTGTGGCATTTTGCAAAAACAGTACACTGTATTTTGCCAGTGTGAAAATAACTTTAGTTTTTGCAAAAATGAGTAAAATGTCAAAAACGAAACATTTCAACACCTATTTTCACATTCTTTAATATAAGTCAGCTAGATGACTGAATCATTTCTCTATTTTAATTTATAAGTAGCAAACAGTAGGACTTACTATGTCTCACAGGTTAAAACAGACTAAGAGGATTTAGCAGATTCAACAAAATCTTAGATTTACTTCATATTTGAACATATTCCCAGAAGTTTTGAAAATTGTGACTGAACTTAACTGTTTCAAACCCAAGAAAATTTAGCTTAGCTTTCATGCTTCAGAATACATTAATCAAACTCACATTTTAGGGTCAATGGAATTAATCCTTCACTATTCTTTTAGAAGGAAAAAACCTGACCATCTTTCATTTGCTAATTCTAGAGAGAATTTGACATTGTCTATAAAGGATTTTATGACACATATGGGTTCCTTGGAAATATTTAAATGGAATATTCCTAAAAATCATTAGCTTGATATATCTATTAATTCTTGGCCTCAATTAACACATGGAACTTACTATAACTAAGAAACACATACATATTAAATGAGCCTGTATTTTTAAAGGATGGACACTTTTACTAGCTGTGTCAAAAATCCTTTGAAAAAAGTTATTTTTATTCTTTCAGTAATATACCATTAGATAGAAAATTTGGCAATATGTCTCAATTTAAGTCAGGCCAAAATTTGAAGCAATACAAATGTTCACCATTTACCTGAAAGATCAAGGAAAAAACTATTTAGAATTTGGGAGATTTTTGTCTATAGTCGTGATACAGACTCCATTTCTCTGGCTCAGACACGAAGATGAATAGGATCCAAGTCTCCAGGTTATTTTCCTTTATTCATCTTTTATGGCCATTTATCTACTTGGCAGGGTTCTTATGAAGACGAGTGGAACAGTTTGCTCTAAAGTGCTTAAATTCTTAAGAGGGAAGTATGCTATAAGAACAAATTATTTTCATCTCTATTACTGTAACAAACACTGGGGATAATTATTTTTGAGTCAAAAGAACAAGGCAAAGTGTATTCGGTATCAAAAATGACATGGTGGGTGGTAAATGGTTTTCACTTCTATAAAGAGCAATACATTAATTTCTATTTTGCACTGCTGATAACACATATCCTCTAAAGACCTTGCTTTATGTGCTCACTTAAAACATGTTTACTATCCTTCTTTCCCATGGAAGTTTGCTAAATGTTGTCCTTTGTACACTTGTGTAGGTTTAGCAAAACTATAGAAAAGGTCTTAAGCTCTTGATAAAAATTAACTGTAAAGAATCCAAGACCTCATGCACAATAATTCACTGTATGCATATTTTTTACGTTATAGTTTTAATGTAATTTTAAAATTTTAATAGTAGTGTTTCTTTGCAGTTTTTCTATAATTACTTCTGGTTTATCCTAACCCATGTGTTCAGAGGCTATTCTATTAGCTTTGTAGGGAAACCCCTGTTCATAACATGTTCTTGAGATTTATTTCCTGTAATGTATGTATTTTGATTTTCATTCATTATATGCTGTGTGGAGCTTGTATCAGGCCTTAATTGATTGCATCTGGGGAAATGGTAGGGGAATAATACCATTTGCTAGGTTTGGTGTTCACGGAAATATGCAAACTAGATTTTGCAACTGACTATAGGTAAAAACAGTCACGAGGTTATCAGTTTTTAGAGTGCGAAGCAAGTCTAGAAGACTGTACTTCGTCCTTCTCTCTTTTGCTTTTTGATCTCCCCTCTTACACATGATCTTCAATTTCTTCTGCTGCTTCCATATATGTGTTTAGCAGGACACTCACCTACACACAATGTTCTTCTCAGCCTTATTCTACATGTCACATGTGTTTAAACCACGTGGTAAGTTAATACCTGAATTGCTTTCTGGAAGGCATGTTCTAGCTTCTCCTTTTCACAGATGCAATTCTTGATGTTAGAAGGGTTGCAGATAGAGGGGTAGCTAAAGGATCATGGTATGTAGGTTTTTGCTTTCTTTCGTAACCCTAATTATTCTGAGCCACATGGCAAATAAAGCAATAATTATTTATTCTTTTCACATACCATGGTCTCTCTCTCTCTCTCTCTCTCTCTCTCTCTCTCTCTCTCTCTCTCTCTCTCTCTCTCTCTCTCTCTCGTCTCCATATTACTTGGAAAGAGTTAGCAGTAAAATTATACAATTTCCTTATTTCAACATTGTTTAATTTTAGATTTTTTAAAAAAGATATTTGGCTGCTCCTGGAAGTATTCTTCATCAAGTTCTCATTTTGAAGGTGATTCATGATTAACTATCATGAGAGAGACAGACACTGGCCGATTGCTTATTGATACTTTTAGGAAAGGTATGAAGATCAATAATTCCAAGGTTGGTAGAGCCTGCATGGCCCAGCACAGTCAACTTCATGATCACATTATAGGTATGGTGTAATGCAGTATGGTGAAATAGAGCTCTGAGGAGTTAACAGGTAAAAGTGTTTAATAGAAAGTAGTTTATGTTAACCTATGTATTTTATATTCTCGCAAGTACTATAAGGTATTGAAATAAATGAGGTCTATTTATTTTAAATAAAATTTACAATAGAAATTAATTCATTCTCCGTGCTATACACTACTTTAGGCTTTTTGCACAAATCTGACTAAAATCCCTTACTAAGTGGGCTTTACATTTTAGTAAGAGATAGACAATGAATATAAAATTGCTGAATAGGTAAATCACACAGGATATAAGAAGTTGATGGATTAAAGAAAAAAGAAAGCAGACTATATAAGGTTCGGGGAGTGCCAGAAGTGTGTGGGCAGGTTAAAATGTTATATAGGTTGATGGATAAACCCAATGAGACAATGAAATTGAGCAATACTTAGGAGTGAGGTTCTAGTTAAGCAAATGTCTGGGGCAAAACAATCAGAAAAAAACAAAACAAAAAAAACTAGAGTAAGGACCCTAAGGCAGAAACATATTTGGCAAGTTCAATGAACAGGAGCAAGTGGGGATAATATCATGAGCATAGGGCATGGGGTTCTTAGAAAAGGAAGTCAGGTATCATTGGCCAACAAACTAACTTAGGCTTTTACTTAGAGAATGTGCAGTTGTTGCAAAGTTTTGAGCAGAGAAGTGACACAATTGACAAATTAATAATTTTCATATGTTTCTTTTATTTATTTCCTAAGGACAAGTTCCAAGCAGGGAGATGACTGAGCCAGTGGGTAGAAAAGATTTTGAGAAGTTTTAAAGGTATAACTTAAATGCATGCCAAGGGGAACATGGCCATTTACCTTTTGTGGCAAAGAGTCTAGCAGTTAAAGTCATAGCTCTGCCTCTTTGGCATCCAAGGTTTCTCTTCTGCCACATCCCTTGCTTTGCTGTCACAATACTGATCTTTGTCTTTTTTAAAAATCTTTATTGTTGAGATTATTACAGATGTCCCTCTTTTTTAACTCCCATTGCCCTCCTCCACCCTCCCCAGGCCTTTGCCACTCTATTGTCTGTGTCCATCGGTAATGCATATATGCATATAAGATCTTTTTTTTTAATCTCTGCCAGCCCCCCCCCATCCCCTACCCTCTGAGAATCGTCAGTCTGTTCCACTTCCATGCCTCTGATTCTATTTTATTCACCAGTTTATTCTGTTCATTAGAGTTCTTATTCATTTATTTTGATTTTTAGATTCAATTGTTGATAGGTATGCGTTTGCTGCCATCTTGTCATTCATATTTTTGATCTTTTTCTTTTTCTTCTCTTCCTCTTCTTAAAGAATGAATACCCTTCATCATTTCATATAATACTGGTTTGGTGGTGCTGAGCTCCTTTAGCTTTTTCTTATCTGTGAAGCTCTTTATCTGACCTTCAATTCTGAATGATAGCTTTGCTGGGTAGAGTAATCTTGGTTGTAGGTACTTGCTGTTCATCACTTTGAATATTTCTTGCCACTTCCTTCTGGCCTGCATAGTTACTGTTGAGAAATCAGCTGACAGTCGAATGGGTACTTCTTTGTAGGTAACTACTGCTTTTCTCTTACTGCTTTTAAGATTCTCTTTGTCTTTAGCCCTTGGCATTTTGATTATGATGTGTCTTGGTGTGATCCTCTTTGGGTTCCTCTTATTTGGGACTCTATGCTTCTTAGACTTGTAAGTCTATTTCTTTCACCAGATAGAAGTTTTCTGTTACTATTTCTTCAAACAATTTCTTGCTCTCTCCCTTCTTCTGGTACCCCCATAATGTGAATGTTGGTACACTTGAAGTTGTCCCAGAGGCTCCTTACACTATCTTCATATTTTTGGATTCTTTTTTCTTATTGCTCTTCTGGTTGGGTGTTTTTTGCTTCTTCATATTTCAAATCATTGATTTGATTATCTGAATCCTCTACTCTACTGTTGAATCCCTGAAATTATTCTTTTTTCAGTCAGTGTATGGTCAATTTCTAACTGGTTCTTTTCCAATTTTTGGAGGTTTCTAGCAGATTCTTGAGTAAACTTATAACCATTGTTTTGAACTCTATAACCAGTAGTTTGTTTTCTTCCATTTCTTTCATTTGTGACATGTTTTTTTTTGTTTGTTTGTTTTTTTGTTGTTTATTTGTTTGTTTGTTTGTTTTAATCTCCACATTTTGCTGCTTCCCTGTGTTTGTTTCTATGTTTGGGTAGAGCTGCTATGTCTACTTAGTGGGTAGAGTGGCCTGTGTAGAAGGTGTTCTATAGGGTCCAGTGGCTCAGCCTCCCCAGTCACCTGAGCTGGGAGCTCTAGGTGCATCCTTTGTGGGCTGTGAGCATAGTCTTATTGTAATTGAGACTTTATTATTGTTGGTGTCACTGGGAGGAATTGACCTCCAGACCAATTGGCTTTGAGGACCAGCTATGACTACAATGGGAGATCTACTGTGCAGGAGACACCCCTATGGAGCAGGACTTGCTTCAGTGTGGCTTTGGTGCTCACTGAGTCTGCCCCTTGAGTGTGTTGCTTATGGGTGTGTAGAGTTGTAATTTGGTATGGTCTGACAGTGACCACTGGCTACACTGGCTCTTGAGTCTCTAGGGAGGTGCAAAGTCAGCCACTGCCTGGGGCCACCCAGCAGGAGCTACAGAGAGATATGCAGAATCCTCCTCTTTGTATCGGGTTTCGAAGTGCCCATATGAGGCCCAGTTATGAAGCAAGACAGGCTGGTGCTGATGCCAGGTCTTGGGCCTTTTTTTGAAAGGTTTGGAGCTCCCTGATCCAGCTGCAGCTTGTTTGAGAAATTTTAGCCAAGCAAGGACAGGCCATTCAAATGCAAAAGCCACTACACCCAGCTTGAGTGGGGTTGTAAATTGAATGAGGTGGGGTATTAGGGAATCACCAGGGCAGAGCAAAGAGAAATGGCTGCCAGTCAGGCCTGTGATCAGAGAGGTCCCAGCATAAAAACAATGATCCCTTGTGAGCATCTCCATGTGGGAGAAAGCCTCCTATGAGTTCCTGCTCCAATGCCTGACAATCCAGTTCCTCCTCATATATGTCTGTTTTTCCTAGACCCTCATCTTGGTGCTGGAGCTCAGAGAAAGCAGTACTTTGAAAGTTCAGTTCATGGTTCTAGCCTTTTAAGAGGAACCCCTGGGTCTCCAGC